AGAAGAAGAAGAAGAAGAGGAAACAGGAGCAGAAGAAGAAGAAGAAACAAATGGAAGAAGACACAGAAGCTGAATAAACAGAAGAAGAAGAAGAAGAAGAAACAGATAAAGAAGAAGATGAAGAAGAAGCAGGAAAATAAGCAAAAGCAGAAGAAACAGGAGCAGAAGAAGAAGAAGAAACAGAAGCAGAAAAGGTAGAAGAAGCAGAAGAAGATGAAAAAGAAGAAGAAACAGGAGCTGAAGAAGACGATGAAGAAGAAGAAACAGGAGCAGAAGAAGCAGAAAAAAATCGAAGAAACAGAAGCAGAATAAACAGATGAAGAAGAAGAAGCAGCAGATGAAAAAACAGGAGCAGATGAAGAAGCAGAAAAAATTTGAAGAAGACACAGAAGCTGAACAAACAGAAGAAGAAGAAGAAGAAAATGGAACAAGACACAGAAGCTGAATAAACAGAAAAAGAAGAAGAAGAAGAAGAAGAAAAAGAAGAAGAAGAGGAAGCAGAAGAAGAAGAAGAACAAGAAGAAGAAACAGAAGAAGAAAAGGTAGAAGAAGCAGAAGAAGACGAAAAAGAAGAAGAAGAAACAGGAGCTGAAGAAGACGACGACGAAGCAGAAACAGGAGCAGAAGAAGCAGAAAAAAATCGAAGAAACAGAAGCAGAATAAACAGATGATGAAGAAGAAGCAGATGAAGAAACAGAAAAAAATTGAAGAAGACACAGAAGCTGAACAAACAGAAGAAGAAGAAGAAGAAGAAGAAGAAGAAGAAGAAGAAGAGGAAACAGAAGAAGAAAAGGTGGAAGAAGCAGAAGAAGACGAAAAAGAAGAAGAAGAAACAGGAGCTGAAGAAGACGACGAAGAAGAAGAAACAGGAGCAGAAGAAGCAGAAAAAAAATCGAAGAAACAGAAGCAGAATAAACAGATGAAGAAGAAGAAGCAGATGAAGAAGCAGAAAAAATTTGAAGAAGACACAGAAGCTGAACAAACAGAAGAAGAAGAAGAGGAAACAGGAGCAGAAGAAGAAGAAGAAGAAGAAGAAAATGGAAGAAGACACAGAAGCTGAATAAACAGAAGAAGACGAAGACGAAGACGAAGAAGAAGAAGAAGAAGAAGAAACAGGAGCAGAAGAAGAAGAAGAAGAAACAGATAAAGAAGAAGATGAAGAAGAAGCAGGAAAATAAGCAAAAGCAGCAGCAGAAGAAGAAGAAACAGAAGCAGAAAACGTAGAAGAAGCAGAAGAAGACGAAAAAGAAGAAGAAGAAACAGGAGCTGAAGAAGACGACGAAGAAGAAGAAACAGGAGCAGAAGAAGCAGAAAAAAATCGAAGAAACAGAAGCAGAATAAACAGATGAAGAAGAAGAAGCAGATGAAGAAGCAGAAAAAATTTGAAGAAGACACAGAAGCTGAACAAACAGAAGAAGAAGAAGAGGAAACAGGAGCAGAAGAAGAAGAAGAAAATGGAAGAAGACACAGAAGCTGAATAAACAGAAGAAGACGAAGACGAAGAAGAAGAAGAAGAAGAAGAAGAAGAAACAGGAGCAGAAGAAGAAGAAGAAGAAACAGATAAAGAAGAAGATGAAGAAGAAGCAGGAAAATAAGCAAAAGCAGAAGAAGAAGAAGAAGAAGAAACAGAAGCAGAAAACGTAGAAGAAGCAGAAGAAGATGAAAAAGAAGAAGAAACAGGAGCTGAAGAAGACGATGAAGAAGAAGAAACAGGAGCAGAAGAAGATGAAAAAGAAGAAGAAACAGGAGCTGAAGAAGACGATGAAGAAGAAGAAACAGGAGCAGAAGAAGCAGAAAAATTCGAAAAAACAGAAGCAAAATAAACAGATGACGAAGAAGAAGCAGCAGATGAAGAAACAGAAGCAGATGAAGAAGCAGAAAAAATTTGAAGAAGACACAGAAGCTGAGCAAACAGAAGAAGAAGAAGAAGAGGAGGAAACAGGAGCAGAAGAAGAAGAAGAAAATGGAAGAAGACACAGAAGCTGAATAAACAGAAGAAGAAGAAGAAGAAGAAGAAACAGATAAAGAAGAAGATGAAGAAGAAGATGAAGAAGAAGAAACAGATAAAGAAGACGATAAAGAAGAAGCAGGAAAATAAGCAAAAGCAGAAGAAACAGGAGCAGAAGAAGAAGCAGAAGAAGAGGAAACAGAGGCAGAAGCAGAATAAGAAACAGGAGCAGAAGAAGAAACAGAATCAGAAAAGGTAGAAGAAGCAGAAGAAGATGAAAAAGAAGAAGAAACAGGAGCTGAAGAAGACGAAGAAGAAGAAACAGGAGCAGAAGAAGCAGAAAAAAATCGAAGAAACAGAAGCAGAATAAACAGATGAAGAAGAAGAAGAAGAAGAAGAAGAAGAAGAAGAAGAAGAAGAAGAAGAAACAGGAGCAGATGAAGAAGCAGAAAAAATTTGAAGACAGAAGCTGAACAAACAGAAGAAGAAGAAGAAGAAGAAGAAGAAGAAACAGGAAAAAGAAGCAAAAGCAGAAGAAGCAGAAGAAGAACTCTGTGGAACAAGTAGACTACAGCCAGTTATCAGGGGGTGTTTGTGTCTCTTCAGCGTCAATTTAAAAGTTACATTGATTGGTCTGAAGTGTGGATAGCATGATCTCACCACCTCTCTACTCGTTTTGTTTTGAGTTATTGTCCCTGAAGGCAAACCCCCCAAATACCAAAAGTGTGGATTTAGTAACAAGTCAAATTAATTATCACAACAAATAAAATAGAAAGCCTCGTTAGCAGCCACCAACTGTCCAGAGAAACCTTACATAACAGCTACACACACACTCACAGCTGTGTGTGGGTCCTGCAGCTTCAAAGATAGGACATTTTCACAAAAGGCTGTTAAAGCAACAAAGAAACAAAGGATAACCAACAACACTATCAAAGGCCTATTCCTTAAAGGAATGCTCTTCGCCCACCATCCTTCATGACAGACAAAATCATTTGATGTGGATAAATGTTTGAATTTTGGTCACTTTTTTTTTTTTTACATATTTAAAGACATACCCACACAGTCTAAAACATCATTGGCCTCTTTTTCAAATACAGGGAGTGCAGAATTATTAGGCAAATTGTATTTTTGAGGAATAATTTTATTATTGAACAACAGCCATGTTCTCAATGAACCAAAAAAACTCATTACTATCAAAGCTGAATGTTTTTGGAAGTAGTTTTTAGTTTTAGCTATTTTAGGGGGATATCTGTGTGTGCAGGTGACTATTACTGTGCATAATTATTGGGCAACTTAACAAAAAACAAATATATACCCATTTCAATTATTTATTTTTTTTTACCAGTGAAACCAATATAACATCTCCACATTCCCACATATACATTTCTGACATTCAAAAACAATACAAAAACAAATCAGCGACCAATATAGCCACCTTTCTTTGCAAGGACACTCAAAAGCCTGCCATCCATGGATTCTGTCAGTGTTTTTGATCTGTTCACCATCGACATTGCGTGCAGCAGCAACCACAGCCTCCCAGACACTGTTCAGAGAGGTGTACCGTTTTCCCCCCTTGTAAATCTCACATTTGATGATGGATCACAGGTTCTCAATGGGGTTCATATCAGGTGAACAAGGAGGCCATGTCATTAGTTTTTCTTCTTTTATACCCTTTCTTGTCAGCCACGCTGTGGAGTACTTGGACGCGTGTGATGGAGCATTGTCCTGCATGAAAATCATGTTTTTCTTGAAGGATGCAGACCTCTTCCTGCACCTCTGCTTGAAAACTGGCAGTAGGACTGGGAGTTGAGCTTGACTCCATCCTCAACCCGAAAAGGCCCCACAAGCTCATCTTTGATGATACCAGCCCAAACCAGTACTCCACCTCCACCTTGCTGGCGTCTGAGTCCGACTGGAGCTCTCTGCCCTTTACCAATCCAGCCACGGGCCCATCCATCTGGCCCATCAAGACTCACTCTCATTTCATCAGTCCATAAAACCTTAGAAAAATCAGTCTTGAGATATTTCTTGGCCCAGTCTTGACGTTTCAGCTTGTGTGTCTTGTTCAGTGGTGGTCGTCTTTCAGCCTTTCTTACCTTGGCCATGTCTCTGAGTATTGCACACCTTGTGCTTTTGGGCACTCCAGTGATGTTGCAGCTCTGAAATATGGCCAAACTGGTGGCAAGTGGCATCATGGCAGCTGCACGCTTGACTTTTCTCAGTTCATGGGCAGTTATTTTGCACCTTGGTTTTTTCACACGCTTCTTGCGACCCTGTTGACTATTTTGAATGAAACTCTTGATTGTTCGATGATCACGCTTCAGAAGCTTTGCAATTTTAAGACTGCTGCATCCCTCTGCAAGATATCTCACTATATTTGACCTTTCTGAGCCTGTCAAGTCCTTCTTTTGACCCATTTTGCCAAAGGAAAGGAAGTTGCCTAATAATTATGCACACCTGATATAGGGTGTTGATGTCATTAGACCACACCCCTTCTCATTACAGAGAAGCACATCACCTAATATGCTTAAATGGTTGTAGGCTTTCGAGCCTATACAGCATGGAGTAAGACAACATGTATGAAGAGGATGATGTGGACAAAATACTCATTTGCCTAATAATTCTGCACTCCCTGTAACAACTAAAAACATCTAAGTACTTCCATTCCCAGAAAAAGAAAAACAGATACAGTGTTTACTCTTAAGCTCCCAGGAAGCCCGACATGGTGACGCTAGCTCAACCTACAGCAGCAGACGCTTCGGTCTACCTTAGAAGTCACCACTGGTGGACGGCTGCAGCTCAGGTGGTGCTGGTTTATTTGTACTATTGGCAGGTTGGTTGGTTCAAGCCTCCGCTCCATATGTCCATTTGTGGCACCAAATATGAAATAAAGTGTAATAATCACTGATGCTGCTCAGTGCCACACACACTCACTCGTTTCAATAACATCTATTCCTCTGTTGGGATGCTGGTGTCTAACTGGTGCCCATAGAGCGTGGGGCTATTGACAGGCCACAGGGCCAAACAACCAGTCACACACTCAGGGACAATCCTAACCTAACATGCAGGTTTTTGTTAAGTGGGAGGCGATGGGAGAAACAATCTCACCCCTTCATGGGGAGGAAATGCTAACTCTTCATAAAAAGGTTTCAGTTGTGATTGAAATCTGCAAACATCTTGCTGTGAGGCAGCAGGGCTACTAACAGTGCCACCGTGCAACGCCAGTATGATGCTGACAGTTACGCTTGGTTTATGTTTGACGCGTTTACTTTCCACGCAGTGATGCGGCTCGCGGCTGGAACGCGCTTCACAACTTGCAGCGTTTATGGTTCATGCGGCTTGTCTCTGCGGTGAGCCAATATTCTCCCAAACTGTAGGGGGCAGCATGGCGCTCTACAGCATGCATCAAACACTACACCATAGTAGAAGTAGAAATGACTGTTTACAACATGGCATTCCAGCATTTATAACAGCGTCCTCGTCTTTTCCGACAGTGCGAGCTATTTCTCTCCAAGAATTATTAACATGTGATCACGGTGATCTCTGAGAGCTGAATCATACAAATGTCTGTATTTACGAACCTCTGCCATACTAGTTCTTGCCGGTCCGCCATGTTTTTCCGTGTCCGACCGTCCGCGTGGTTAAAAATTTTCCTAGGTGTGCGTTGCGGAAATTTTGGGCCGTGCGGAGGCTCGGTGGAGGGGCGTGGTTGTTCAAATGTCGCAATTTCGCCATGCGGAGCCGTGCGAACCTCGCGGACGCGTCAAGCATAAACCAACCTTTACAGCCTGAACAGGCTGCCTATCAGCCACACATTCAAGTCTTTAAACACCATTAAGTATCTGAATAACAAGTATTCAATCCTCACTAAATCGTGTCTACCTCCTTATTCTGTTTCTGTCCTGTTTGTTTCCATTTAGGCAAGGTGAAGACTTTTAATATATGCAAGCCTTTAAATGCTCCTCAAACATTTAAGAAAATGTCAGATTGATTCTCTAAACATTCGCTGCTATAAAACCTGAGTGTTGAGTTTCAATTCTAAAGGTCAAGGTGGACCTTTAAACAACAGTGGAAATTATGTTTATTCCCTCCATCATGACAGGGGGCCAGAATTCTCTCTTCCTTCTTTATAAATCACATAATACAAATGATGTCCGACTGTGTCTTTTTATTACGAGCTCAATATATCAGTTCCCTGCAGAAAGCTGCTGCTGGTTGACAAACAGCCTGGAGATACTGACTGTTTTCGGCGTTTTCGTTTGCACGTCGAAGTGGAACGCTGACTTCATTGTTCTGTCACGT